CGCCCGCTTCCTCCAGCGCGCTCTGCTCCAAGGGTTTCCCTAGGGGGAGCCGCCCCGCACGCTGGGGGGGGGGGGGGGGGCGCTCCCAGCCTGCACGCGAGGCCGGGTAATTCTGCCCATATATGGGAGCTGTGCTGGCCCAGGCCCTGGGGAGGATGCTGTGGCCTGGCGCCCTGCCTCCGTGCAATTCTCCCTCCTGCCTATTGGGATCCTCGACCCATCATTCGGTTAGAAGGCGCAGCAAGGGTCAGCTCTTATGTAACCCGCTGCCGGGCTGTAGATTTGTGCTGGGTAAACCATCCCCCAACGAAAGCGCTTCCCTAGGCAGTCGCTCTACCAAGCCACTTTGGGGTTGGGGTGGGGAGGGAGGCCCCCTTTGTTACCGTGTCTGGTATATTGTGATCTAGGGTTCTGCTGGCTTCACACACACCAGGCTATTGCTTAGCTTCAAACCATTTTATCCAAACTAGACCATGCCCACACTGAGCACGGGGAGGGGGGAAAACAGTTCCTAGCACACACTGTTTAATGTGGACAGGATCTGGGATTTTTGGTCGTGTGAGACAACTAATGTCCTGTAGTGCTCTGACAAACCAGTGTTTGTGTCTCCAGTGTAAATGGGGTCACTCAGATAAAGTAAACACCCATTACAAGAAATGACTTAAGTACCGCACTGCCTTGCACACACTAATAACCTGATTATCTATAGTGGATGCTCCACTTCAGATGTTTACATTAGTAACACTAAATTATTTTTCTGTCAGTGCTACTGCTCCTCACAGCAATGGTGATTTACAAGCTTCTAAGCATGTTCATATAAGTTAAGCCTTTGCTAGACTTAGGCTACGTCTACGCTGCAGGTTTTTTGTGCAAGAACTTTTTTGGGGGAAGAGATCGTCCATAAAAACGTCTTGTGCAAAAAACGCATTCACACTACATAAGAGATGCTCTTTTGCGCAAGGGAGCATCTACACTGCATGGATGCTCTTGCACAAGAAAGCGATGATTGCCATTAACAGAATAGCCATCAGAGCACCTGTGCTTTTTCTGATAGGCTCTTTTAGTGCAAGAAACCCCTGTTGAGCATCCACACACACCTTTTTGCGTAAGAGCTTTTGCACAAAAAGGAGTTATTCCTTATAGAAAGAGGTATACCTATACCTCAAAAAGCTCTCTGTACTGCTGTTCTACTGTAAGTTTTCTTGCACAAAAATGTGCTTGATATGTGGATGCTCTGTGGGTTTTTGTGCATAAACCCTGTAGTGTAGACATAACCTCAGTGTTGAAAGCTACAAGCCCGTTTTTATCCATCAGAACCAGATATCTGACACTGACAAGACACCTTAACGGTTTAAAATTAATGGGGCTCTATAGTGTAGACACAGCCATGGTAGCCTATAAACTTATGGAATAGTTAGAAAAATGCCACTGTCTAGTCTTATAACTTAATTGGCTTATTCAAACTGGTGGCATGTGAAACTAGCTACATTCTTAAAATGCCCTGTTTCTTTGTATTGTGTTCTCTGTAGTATATACTCTGGAGCTAAGGGGGTAGAGATGGGTCAGGCAAACAAACTGTGTCTCAAATAGCTGTGATGAACGCCTAGGCTGTGTCTATATTGGCCCCTATTCCGTAATAGGTATGCAAATGTAGCACTTTGGAATAGGAAATCCGCAGGGGATTTAAATATCCCCCGCGGCATTTGCATTAACATGGCTGTCGCTTTTTTCCGCTTTTTTCCTACTTGAAAGTAGGAATAAGAGATCCTCCGGAAAAGAGCTTATTTTCCGGAGGATCGCGTCCAGACTGGCGCTTTTCTCCGGCTTATCTACAAGCCGGAAAAAAGCGGCAGCCATGTTAATGCAAATGCTGCAGGGGATATTTAAATGCCCCGCGGATTTGCCTATTCCAAAGTGCTACATTTGCATCCCTATTACGGAATAGGGGCCAATGTAGACACAGCCCTATTGAATAGTGTTGCCCAGTGGATCTTTGACCACATTAGGATCCTTTGGACTGATAACTTGCATTAGTTTAACACCAAGTTCAAGTGCAGACAAGATTTTATTACCCTGTTGGCTCAATAGTGGTGAAGTTTGGCTGGAATGGGCTATAAACAACAGGATGCATGACTTCTGAAGCCTTTGGTGAAACAACTGTTGGGATGTTTATCTCTAAATGACACTATTTAGCACTATAGCAGGACTTCATGGAGACCATGGAGTCACTGCTCAGCATTTGCCTGTTTCCACCAGTACAGATTAGATGATGGAACCCACCAGTAGAGATTAGATGATGGAACCCTGAAAGTTTGTGCGGCTTCAATCCTGCTGTCTGTTCTACTTAGTCCCATATCCAGTTGGGGGGGGTGTCAGAACATATTTAGTATACTCAGGGTGTTTAATTTCATGTAATTCAATGTGGGAAGCTCTACCAAAAGGTGGTCCACACATAGTAGCAACACTTCATAATTATTGCTAAATGTGGAAAGGTACATCTAAATTTAGACAAACATTGCAGTCTGAAACCCAGACTGCAGAACTAAGTTGGAATAGGGATTTGTTTGTATATAACTTTTTTTTCTCCTAGGTTAGTTACTTTCTGCCAAACATTTTGCAACAAAATATAAATCTGCTACTTGTGTTATTTTTAGTACAAAGCTGACATGGAGACCACATTCTGGTACAGGGGATATAACAGAGGTATTAATTTTGAAACATACTCAGTTTTAATTTATGGAAGAAATCTTTCATTTGGGTGTTCTGTAATGGGATGCAGTCTTGTGGAAGTCCATTGCCATGGAGTTGAATCTAAAATTTACTAGCCTTCAAAACTTGAAGGCTTCATTTGATAAGAACATCCACTACTACTTTAGATAAGTTGTGTATTTAAAAGGGCTGCACATCTTCATGTTTCAAGGCATAATTGAGCCACTAAATGCTAGAGGAAGCTTACTACTTATCTTCCTTTTATATTAATGTGGCCACAATATATGAATATACTTTAACAGCAGAGTTTGCCTGGGCTCTCTGAGTCATGGCCTTAACCCACACAGACCCCTCACCTGAATTTAGTTGTGCTTTCAATCTGGGCTAGCTGATACAGTTGGATTTGAGTTAGAGTTTAGATCTGCTCTTACTTGGGCTGGTAATCAACCCACTTTTCAATTAAAGCTCAGCCCATAGTCTCAGTTCCTTGTGCTCAGGACAGACAAAGTCTTTCACAATTCACTGGGGAAGAATTGCAGAGGAGCTCTGCCTACTGCAGGACAAAGAACCATGGGCTATGTCCCCAGAATCCATAGCAACAGACCTAGGGGAGTGTGGCACCAGTGACTACACAGGAACTTGGTACCACTTTGTAGCACAGTTATTCACACCCAGGCTAACTTCAGTGAAGACGTAGGTTGCAAATCCTTATAGGTTTTCTTTGAAGCATTTGAGACTTGATGCTGTCAGACTGGATATGGGACTAGATTTTTCTGCTGATGAAATGCATAATCAACTTCAAAAGAATGATTTAGTAGGAGGCGGCAGAATAATTCATAGAAATCTGCATTCAGATCTCCATTTTAAAATAAAACCTAGGAGGGAAACGTCTGGGTTTTTTTCCAGGCAGGGAGTCTACTGCAGTCTGATTATATAGTGAATGAAAGAATTTGGGCAAAAGTTCCAAGAACATGTCATTTATTCTCTCTGAATGTTAAGCAATCAACAAGTAACTTTTTTTCAAAGCCACAGTGTAGCTTTAAGATATTTGTTTCTGTTAATATGCAAACAAGCTGATTTATGCAGAACTGTATAGTACTCAAATGTTATGCCCTTTCAAGTAAGAAAACAGTGTGTGCCTGAATTTGTGTTTTAGCAGATACCTTAACCAAAAAGTAACACACTATGAAATGAGGGATGTGAAGTATGCTAGATGCACTTTCTAGAGGTGTCCTGACATTTACATTAATACCTTTATATCAAATACTGCCCTGAAGTCAATTGCTGGGCCCAGGATTTGACCCTAGGCTTACCTGAAATCTTAAAGTGCAGTTGTAGATCAAATTTTTATATTCAGCAACACACTTCAGAGTAGGAGCACCACATATTTATAGTCCAGAACTGACACACAGGTCTCGAATTTCATTTATATATCAAGTCACCACTAAGCTATATGTTTGACTCCTTTGATGTTCCCTGCTTGCTTCCAAAACTGTCATTGCATTCCTGAGGCTCTCTGAATAAATGATAAATTGACCAATGGTATATGACTCAAAAGAGTTTGCTAGTGTACTTGGAATACAAACACATCTGGTAAAACTACAAAATGACCATGTTCAAAATGTCTGAAATTGAATATCTGTGCCTTCAGAATTAAATGCTAGCAATTCCAAAATCTCTTATTCCTCATTTTAAATGCTGCTGATCTTTAGATGCAGGTATAAATAAGAATAAAACTTTTCTAAAAGCCTTTGGCTTCATTACTTTTTTTTAAAGTTAGTTGTTTTTTGAAGTGATCACTTGCTTACCTGAATGCTAATTGAAATAGTTTACATTTCATCCAACCATTTTATCATTCAGTTTAAAACAAAAAACCCTGCATTAACTGTTTGCACAAATTAAAGTGCAAAGAACAAAGTTCCGGAAGAAATTAAGAGCATAACTTGTTTACATAGACATCTGCCAAACAAAGTTCACACATGACCATCTGGTGTTGTATTACTGCCACTCTTGATTATCATGAATAAAGATCTGGAAGAGCAGCTGCCAGCTTCATTCTGTCATAGGTCAACTCTGAATTGAGTTACTTGCAGACTTTCCAAGTAGCATGTGTAATCAGAATCATGCATGGAACTGGGAGAAGGGGCCGCCTTTAGACTTCTGTCTCAACTGGAAATTTCCACGCACTGTTTCAAATATTCTCCCAGGCTTGACTGAAGGGGAAAAAATACAACCAGGTCTATTCTGAGACTTTAAAAAGCATAAAAAAGCAAAACTATGTTTCCATCTAGACAGATAGTGGTTGCACTGCAAACCATGCTAAATATCTTCATTGTATTCAAAAGAAGTGAAGATCTAAAATAACCAAAGTAGACTAAAATGCTCACTTTCTTCTGCTTTTCTAGGATGGATTTTGTCACTTCTTCAATGGACATGGTTCTCAACCAGCTGACCAGAACAGTACCATAAGCAGTGCCATCATGGCAGCAGCAGGATTTGGACTAGCAGGATTAGCTGTTCTCTTGGCTGTCCGATAGGCTGATACAGTGGATCTTGCAATGGAAAGAACTCTACAAACTGCCAATTTACCAGTTAGATTTCCGTCTATTTTCTATAGGATTGACTCTTTAAGAAGATAGTTTATATTTTTAAAGTTGCTTGGAGAATTGTCGTCTTACCAGATCCCTGGCTATAAACTGCTTTCCTTGCTACCCAGTAACAGCACAAATGAAAATGTGTACCTAAACCACCAGTTGAGTGTGCACACATTGCTTATCAGCTCTGACCTCCCTCTGGACCGCTCTTTGAAAGATGTAATCTCAATATTGCCATAGTTCATTCATGTACTGTCACTTCAGAGTATACAATGTTATGCTAGAATAAGCTATGGCAGTCTCGCAGCCAAACCCTTTGTTCAAGGTATTGTGTTCTAAAGTTACTCCCATTAAAACAAAACTTCAGCTCTGCTGTAAGGTGAGCTAACACTAACTGTAATATATCATGGTGTATAACTCCAGATGTGATACACTGCACATAAAACTGAGAGGCAATTCATTGGTTAGTCTAGAACAATGAGTACCTATGTTATAAAGAACATTTTGGCTTAATATTAAGGAAATATGACTTTAAGGATAGTTACAGCTACACTACAAACAGGTGAGGACTGAAAAGCAGAAATAGCTGCAAAATCTGTTCTTACTGAAAGGAATTTAACTATTAAACTTTAATTGGTATATTTAGAAATCCACTGAAGGCTGGAATTTCTCTGGATTTCCCTGTCAAAACCAGAATTTCCATATATCTTAATATATTTTTGAAGTATTTATCATTGTATAATACTTGTTGCCATAACATCTTTATTTTTGTTGGAAATTTCATCTTGAATACAGGTTCTCATGATGGCTCTCTAGTGTGTATCAACCATTGTCTCCCTTGATCTAACAGTGTTTGTTTTCCACACGCTGTGTATTTCTTCCTACTGTTTCTAGTAGCTTTTAACTTTCCTGGGTTACTTGTAGCTTATATAATTTTATTGTGGTGACTTATATGGTGAATAAATGCTATTGAGTATTTTTATTTTAATTAAATCTTTCTGGATTTATTCAGATGAGTGGGCATACCTATTTGAAACATGAACACTAGGCATTTACCTGGATGCATAACTTAGCTCTACCTCTTTAGAGTATTGATATCAAACAAAAGGGAGCTTGTGGCTTTGTAGCAATATGCAGAATCTAAGAAATCTAACTGTAAGCACTTCCTGCAACTTGGTGGGGGTGGGGGTTAAGGGCCCTTCACATGTATAAAGATTAATATTTTTTACAAATAGTGTCTGAGGAAATAATTCAGTGTCTATATAGGTAGAAGAATTTACGTGATTAAAAGTATTCTTCAGTTCTGGCCTGCATTGCAGCTAGATGTTTCTATAGTCCATTCCTGTGCAAGGAGGTCAGAGCTCAATTAAGAACAGAAAATGAAAAGCATGAAGAAGTGCTGGTAAGTCTTGCATGGAGGTAAAGTTCATAATTATTACTTAAGAACTCTGACCTTTGTGCTAGGCACTACGTAGAGGTAGACATGCATTCAAGACAGATCACTTATGTTCTACCTCTTATCTCCCCTTCATCCCTACTTGGTGGGGTTTAAAGAGTTGCAAGTCATCTAAAACAGTTCTTCAAAGCCTTGGGCTTAACCTGTTTTAAAATACCTTCCAGGCCTTAAGTTGCAAGAAGGTTGTAGGACTTTCAGAATTTCTTAAACTGCACACTTATACAGAAATTACACCAGTGGGTACAAAACACACCCTACAAAGGACCAGCTAATCTGAGGTGGAGCTGTCTAAGACCAGAGTATTGTGTCACTAAAGAGGTAAATAAACCTGCTGTAAATTTCCTTTGTCCCAGAGGAATACACTGTACCAGTATTTCTCACTAGGTAAGCTGTCCACCTGCCACCTTTGTTTCAAATATTGCTTAGCATCCCTCCTCCTCTTCCAAAAACCAAAATCCTGTTGCTCCCAGAGTGGTGTCTTGCTGTGTAAATGTGAACAAGTGTCAAGCTGTTTTGCTGGACATCAGGTTAAGTAATCTCAAATTTCAGTGAACCACTGCAACTGCTCTGACCTTCATTTTTCTTGGTAGCTAATGTCAACATGCTTGTGTAAATGAGGTAATAAAAGGAGCGCTCTATTCCTGAGTGCTACTCTCTGATATTGAGAACCCCATGTCATAGTTTATCCTGGTACATAGAACTCTATTATGCTGGCTATAAATAAAAATGCTGGGAGAATAACAAGGCAATAGTAGTCCCGTGGCCCCCCTATTGGAGACTAACAAAGTATAGTGAGTACATAGGCAATAGTATTTATTCAGTGTAGGCAAGTCCAAAGAGGATGTTTAACTTCAAACCCTGCAAACTGTGTCAAGGGGAGATTAGAAGCCTTATTGTTTGAGGCACTGAATTTGCTTATGGCAAAGGTGTGATCTCTTTCCTCAGTTCATAATAAAAATACTTGCTGCATATGCAAATCTGTCCATCAGTCACCTTAGACTTCCCCTGGAGGAAAGGAGTAATTAGACTTTGCCAAAATCACATTTTATCGATAACTGCAATTGTTATGCCCAAACCACGCTATTTATCAATAACTGAGAATAACTCAAGGAAATGGTGGTTTCCCAAAATAGGCCACTTGACTACTTCCTCATGTTCTCAGTAACTGGAATATCACAGGTGAGCAGTGACAAGGAATTCATACTTTAGTTTCTGTGCTATTATTTTGCTCCTTTGCAAAATGAGGTTAAATACAGTGTGGGAATGTGCACATCCTGTGTCTGCCCAACTCTAAAGATAAGTAAAAAGGGGACAAAAGACAAAATTCTCACATTCCAGCAAGGAGTTGCCGTCATCTGCTCTGCAACCTAGGCTGTCTTACTGTACTCTGCTGTTGAGTGGCCCAAGGTGGGAGCTACACAAACAGCATGCAGCTCATACCTAGAGGCTACGTCTACACTGGCACCCTTTTCCGGAAATGCTTAAAACGGAACAGTTTTTCCGTATAAGTATTTCCGGAAAAGCGTGTCTACATTGGCAGGATGCTTTTCTGGAAAAGCACTTTTCGGGAAAAGCGTCCGTGACAATGTAGATGCGCTTTTCCGCAAAAAAGCCCCGATCGTCATTTTCGCGATCGGGGCTTTTTTGCGGAAAAGACTACTGTGCTGTCTACACTGGCCCTTTTCTGAAACAGTTTTTCCGGAAAAGGACTCTTGCTCGAACGGGAGCAGCATAGTTTTTCTGGAAAAACAATGACGATTTTACATTAGATCATCATTGCTTTTCTGGAAAAGCAAGCAGCCAGTGTAGACAGCTCATAGCTTATTCCAGAAAAGCAGATGCTTTTCCAGAATAAGTGGCCCAGTGTAGACACAGCCAGAGTGTCTGTGTAGCTGCAGCCCTGGTCCACCAACTCTGGCCCTAACAGCTGTGGTTACTACCCGCAGGCTGACCTCAACATACTCCCAATCACAAATTTTCCCTGAGGTGTGTGGGTGTGTGCAGTACGATCCTGCTCTGTCCTTGACCATGCAGGTATTATAGATCCCTTTGCCCTGTAAGAGGTCAATATCTGACAGCCTCTTAAACTCTGTTTATACAATTAAGATTAGTCCAATGCTGCATTTAAACTTACCCACTTAAAAGTCTCTTTTTGTGGGTATATGATATTGAAGTCCCAGCTAGTTACAAGACGAAACACTTTCTAGGAGCTAAAACTTAATGAGACTTGGTTCAAGACAAAATCCTTCTATTTACCCAGAAACATTGCAACTATATTTTCATGCTCAGATCCCCTCCCCTTGCAAAGTCAAAAGGCTAGTTTTTGTCATCTTAGGTAAGAAAGATAACTTAAGGTGTTTTTAGACAATAAAAGGTGAGGGGCTATGTCGTCATTTCAATTTTTTTTTCCCCTGAAAGTTCTCCCTAGACCAAATTTAATTCTGGCTGTATGGATGGACCTGTGGAGTGGTGAAAGAAATACCAGCTTGTTGCTTGCTAAAATGCAGATTGACTTGTTCTGCACTCCTTCGTTGCCAAAACATGGGCACTTGACTGGTAACTGGCTAGAGGCATAGCTTGTCCTTAGTCCTAGAGAAGCTGGTTCACCCCCCTGTTGCTGTCCCGAGGAACCTGTTTACTGCTTATATGTAAACTGAGGTAAACAGACATTTATTTGTTTAAGATGGACCTGTTTAACAAGTTTTGCTTAGTCAGGGCTTTGAGTTTGAATATGTGCTAATGTCGTCAGACAGGGGGAATTCATGACTGTACTTACAATTAGGGTGCGTTTCCACTGCACCCATAGCTTGAAATAAGATATGCAATTTGAGCTACACAAATTGCATATCTTCAATCTTATTTCAAAATAGCTTTTTCATACCGTAATTTGAAATGAAGTGCTATTCTGAAATGTCCCTTACTCCTCGTGCAATGAGGTTGCAGGGACATCAGAGTATTGAGCTTGTTATATTTCAATACAATGGGCTTGCTCTTAAGATGCAGAATGGCTATTTTGGGATACCGGAGGTATCCCAAAATAGTTCCTCAGTGTAGACATAGCCTTAGAGCCCTGCAAATTCATGGATATCTGCTTTTATACCAGTGGGTATTCATCTCCGCTGTGCAGATATGGTTGTGAATGCCCATACTCATTTTATCTACAACCTTGCAAAACGGTGGCTATCAGCTTTATATATGTAGGTATCTGCATCAGTGGATGTTTATGTGGATAGCTGTGGCTCATTTCTGTGGACACAATTTGTATCCATGCAGGGCTGTACCTATAATGATGATGCATATTTTTCACCATGATATTGACCAGTGAGTTATTTCTAAGTGATACATCCTAAGGCATCTTTGTACATGTGTGTATACGGTGGGAATACAGGATTGCATTGGGTCACAATCTTGCATGAGATGTAGCCAGACAAGGCAGGCCACACGAACAAAACCATAGTTTATTTTGTTGATTGCTACAATATGACAGCAGAGAAACATAGTAGTAAATGTCTATTACGACCTAGAATTTGGAAATGTCCCTACGTGAAGCCACAACTAGCCTTCACAACAAACATTTTTCCTTTAGAAGTGAAGTGTAGCTGATGCTTTGACATCGGTCTCAGGAAGTATTCTCCATGCACTGTTTCAGCCCAACACATTTGTTCTCTGATAATCTGTAGGGAAGTCAAAGGCAAAAACATGAGAGCAAGGAAAGTGGGTATAACTTAAGGACATTAAAATGCGGTTAATTGACTAGTCAACTAGTTGATAGGCACTTCCGTATTCTTCCTTTGAAATGTACAAGAGCCCCAGCAGAGGCTCTTCTACATTTCAAAGGAAGAACACAGAACTCCACCTACAGCCCAGGGCCAGTCTGCGGATCAGCTGTGCAGTGGCTGCCCCTTTAAAATGTCACCTCTGGTGTTTCAAAGGGGCAGCTGCTGTGGAGCCTGGGGTCAGCTGAGAACTCGTAGCTGACCCTGGGCTCCCCATGGCATTTCCCCAGAACCCAGGATCAGCTAGGGACTCCCAGCTGACTCCAGGTTCTGAGGAAATGCTGCATGGAACCTGGGGTCAGCTGGGGAGTCCCCAGCTGACCCCGGGCTCCATGGTTGCCCCCTTTGAATTGCACAGATGTGGCTTTTTAAAGGGGCAGCGTGCTCCACAGCTGGTCAGCGGACTGGCCCTGGGCTGTGCGCGGAGTTCCACATTCCTCCTTTGAAATGTACAAGAGCCTCACCAGGAGGAATGTGACAGTACCCTATCACCTAGTCAATGGCACTGCGGGGGGCGGGGGAATATCGACTAGGCAAAAGACTATCCGATAAGCAAATGCTTGTCGTACAGTCGACTAGTCTTTAACATCCTTAGTATAACTTTCTTTTTTGAATCCAAAAAACTAAGGTGGCATGTCTTTACTGAAGATTTAGTTGAAGATCAAAAGATGTAATATAATTTAGAGGACTTTTTTTTAGTACCTTAGTAATAAGAAAAAAATACATTGCTGTTCTCTTAGCACTATAGTGTTATTTTCTCT